CATCATTTGGCAACACTTGATTGATGTTCAACATACTCTCCGCCGATTTCAATGCATTTTGTCCTGCAAAAAAAATCCGACCATCAAATCAGTGCCAAAAATCGTGTTTCGACGGTGGAAATGAGCCTGTCCTGAAAATAAATTTCCTTCAGACTAATTCTTCACCGTCGGAAACAGGAAAAATCAGCCACAGGACGACAATTCAACCCATAGAACTTCATTTTCGGCCCTGTTGTGATGGTTGGAATAAATATAGCACAACAGAATCCATTGAAATTGGCGGGGAGTATGTTGAACAGTACTGACGGGTTGCCAAATTATGGGGCTGTGCGAGTTAAAAAATACATATACAGTATTTGAAATTGTTGAAACTCCGTATGGGACCTCTTTCAAAAAGTCTCAAAACTTATGAACCAAACCCTCGAATCTTTCTGTTTCAACACAATTGACCCGACTTGATGAGGAAGTCGGAGGTCTAGAGAGTTTCGAATCACGGTCAAAAACTCGCTGTTTAATTCGGAGCTTGATAATCCTGATAATATTGGGAAATTTGAAGACCAAACGGACACTTCACTGCACACAGAGACAAATAGGCAGAGAGAAACTGATCGGAGTGACGCAATGTTTTTTTTTTTTCAGATAACTGAAACTATTAGGATCAATTAAACTTTTTTCAGATTCGGTATCATTATTCTTCTTTTCTTTTTCCTCCCGTCAAAGCGATCGGACATCGCGAAATTGCGATTGCGGATATGATTATTATGTTTCGTTTATGACAACGGAAGTATTCACTCTTCGAAAATAACCAAAAATTGAATGAATGAAAAAAACGCCTGTCCGGAAATAATTTACGCGCAACGGGACATGAGGTCGATGAAAGCAGACAGAAAACATTTTACAGGGCATTGACCCGTTATATGACGACAACGCGAAATAATTTTCAGTGACTGGGTAACGAAAAGCCCCGGAGAAAAAGCTTTCCATCAATGATACAAGCAAAAAAAAGTTTTGGGAGATGAACTCGCAGTTTCCATAATTCACTGAACAAAACAAAAGAAGATGCTGATGATCTTCGACAAAGTTCACTAGTAAAAATGCAGGAATATGCTTGGGTATTTATGCCTGCCAAATTTTTGAAAACGAGTTGCCAGACCCAAATCCGGAGGCCTCCACTGATACTGAAGAAAAATCCAAGGACCCAAGTGAATTTCCAAATAGTTTCAGTGAAAATTGTTCGAAGATACGCGACGTTGAAAATTTTTAAAAACCACAAAATCTACATAAAATGACCAACCTGTGACCCCCGGATGAAACCACAATGACCCGACACGGCGCGGAAACCCCAATTCTCACAATCCCAGGCTGCTTAGACCCCGAGGCACAGGTTTCGTCACGTCTCACACGGCGCCACACCGACGGTCGCAAATACCCGCGCCATGTCCCATCAAGTATCACATTACCAACGACACAAAAAAAAAATCGCACACAAAAAAACCTGGGAATAAAAAAAAAACGAATTTCCAACGCAACGAAGAATTTTTCATCAAACATTCAAAAAATTAACGCTGATTCGTTGCACAGTAACATAAGTCAAAGGTGCAATTCCACATCCAACATTAAAAAAATATATATATATATAACACGAATACCAAAAATTCGCCCGATTTGTTCATGAGCTCCGTGCAATGAAAGCCTTTTCCGAATCACAAATGAAAAGAATCCGCGCCAGATTCCAAAAGACATACCACGGATATGAGATAACAAAAATGACGAAAAATATTAAAATAATATCAAATTACTCGGGAAGTCATGGTTCAGTGAAGGACAGTTTTTATATTGCATAAATCTCCCCAATTACGAAGAAAAAAAAATTAAAAAAAGGATGGATGTAAGCCAAGTAATGGATAATCGAGGTGATGTTTCGTGGTCGATCTCAAACAAATCTCACCATATTATTTTCTCGAATGTAAGCCACCATCTACTTCTCGAAAGTACCAGGTCTGTCTCCAAGGAATTGGCCAAGAATCCTTTAGGACAATTTGGCAAACGAAAAACACTACAGTTTCGTTGTAAAGAACAATTCTTTTTGAAACAAAACTTTTCTTCCACGGCCATTTTTTTTCAATTATCCCTTGCGTGATAAACACATCCTTATTTAATACTCATTATGACACATTTTTTCCATCAACATAAAAGGTTTTTTTTAAGGTACGAATGGCTTTGCTGTACCGAAATTGTACTGATAATGCCAGTGTGCGAACTTCCTTTTCCCCCAACAAGTTGCTGAACAAAACACAAGTTCCTCAACCATTTTCCCCCCACAAAAGACGTTGTCCATCATCATGAAAAGGCAAATCGACACGAGTTCGGACCCATCTTCGCCTCAATCATCCGCACACTCAAGTCCATCAACTTGCTCTGAAACTCCTCACTCTTGGACACAGCCGCACACCGAGTCACGCAACAATTATCCAAATAACTGCCGCCAAATTCCGCCAACTCCGGCGCCGTGGCGGCGAAACACGACGTCGCCGCACTCTGCTCCCACGTCTTGGTAAAGGGATACACGAGGGCGTACAAGAGCCTCAGGACCCACCAGCCAGACTGGAAATTGGTCGCCACCAGACTGCCCGGGTGCAGCGAGAAACACAACACTTGAGGGGCGCCGTGAGTCGTGAAATAGCGTTGGAGCCACCAGGCAAAGGCGACGTTGCACAGCTTGGAGTCGTTGTACGCCATCGTGCCCCAATACTCGGACTTGACCGGCGGGGAAAGACGCCGTTCCGTTAGTTTCCTCGTGGTGAGGAATGAAGTTCTGCGAAATGGTAAAGAAAATAATGTTATTTTTAAAATGTTTGTATACCCGCGAGCGAAAATAGATTCAAGGTCGAGGTCGCCGGTCACTGCGAAATTCTTTGGGAAACGCCATATCGAACGTTTACAGGAGGGCTCTCTCTCTCTACAATGATTTTTGTCTGGTCCGCTGAATTTCGTTTTAGAGAATAGATTTCTCTCCTCATGATATAGGCATCTCTATAACGAAATTCTCTCTAGAATGATTTTTTTTCTGGTGAAATTTCAATTCTCAATTGAAGGTGCAGAGCTTGGACATTTGATTCTCGCTAAAACCATACAGATTACCCGTCAAGAAAAAAAAAATAGCAGAAGAACCCAAATTAGAAGAAAAGAAAAAAAGATTCAAACAAACTTTTGCAAAATGTATCAAGACTTCACGCGGCATTTCCAGCCACCTCTTGCAGACGAACATTTCATTACTACCATGAGAGAAAATTCATTTTTGGAGGTAGAAATTTTCAGTGACTGACTTTTCACAAGGAGGAAGCTTCACGTTCCAAGAGACTGGTGAAAGAAATTTTGCCTGGAGCTAGGAATAGAAAACCATGAGCTGACAAAAAAGCACCGGACTGGTTTCTTAGTCACAATTCCTTTTTGCACGGGATAAATATTGCACAAGAAATTTTCGTAGATACACTGCAAGTACGGAGGAATTACAAGTACAGTACAGTACTGTACTGCATAATCTTCCCCATTTTATTTTGCTGTTTTCGTGTCTTCTGTGAACTGAAATTCATGGTATTAAAAAGGCGAAACCGTTATCTTTTTTTTTTTTCAAATTTCACGTGGACACTGAAAAACTCGTATTCCTAAACTTGCTAAAACTCCACAGAAAAATCTTCCCGATTTTATTTTCCTATTTTCGTATCTTCTGTGAACTGCAATTTTTGGCATTACAAACTGTAAAACTGTAATTTTTAAAATTTCATTCATAAACTGAAAAAATCCAACTCAAAACTTGATGAAATTCCAAAGACTAATATTTCCAGAATTTTTTTATTCTCGTTTCCTCTGTGAACTGCAATTTTTTTTTCAACGTCAGAACTGCGATTTTATTTTCAAATTTCACCTAGATACTGAAGAAAATCCAACTCAAAACTTGCAAAAATTCCACCTGTTAGGATTTAAAAATGCCTTCACATGAAACCATTTTCATTTGGAGTCAATTTTCTCCACATTAAAAATGTCTTAAACTGTTTTTGTTGTGAGAGTATTTTTGCTACACCACATCCCCTTGTACGACCTGGACACCTGCTTTTGTCCGCTAAAAATTAAAAAAAAAATTGTAAGACTCATGTTTTTTACGAGTAGATATACTTTTTTCTGCATCGATAGTATGTCTTTCATGTTCATTATTGTCTAGGACTTTACATTCGAGAAAATCGCGCTCGTATTTCACGGCATCTTCCTTCAATTAAAAAAATGATTTATTTTATCATACAAATTAATCCTTCTAATATCTTCATCTGATAGAATTATTTGAGAAACAATTTCTGCTGCTCACAAGTAGTACTGTAGTACTGAAATTTTTATTTAAGTTCAATTCAGTTCCCCAAATGTCCATATTGTGTCGAAATATTGTACATATATTTATTGAATCAGTTTCAATTGGGAGACTATTTTTATTTTCATGGAATTATGGTGAGTATTTTGTCCATAAAATACAAATTGAAAATTATATTATGTAAGTCTAAGGTAAAGTGAGACTCGACTTGAGGACACTCGATGCACCAATTGCGTCCGCATCTCGGGGTCTCCCTGTAAATAAAAAATTGTGATTCAAGAGAAATTCCCCAAGTTCGCAAATGAAGTCAGATGATCGCAAATGACGGGGGTGGGGAAGAATCCCTTTTCAAAACAACCTTGGCCTTCACAGATTTCCTCTACCCAACCTTTGCCTTATACATAAATGCATACTGTTACATACATACATACATACACACACACACACAGACATTCCAGACCAAGGAAGCAAGATTCACGGCAATGCTGGCACCTGTACGTCCATTAGCCCCCTGTAATTGATCCCCATTCCCTCCTCCCCACAATGATAATGACCTTTAGCTATAAAAGCCCTGCGACTTTCCCCAGTCCAGTCTTCCTCTCGTTTCCAACCACCGAAAAAAGCCAGTAGCAATGGAATTATTTGTGGGACATTTTTTCCTACTCTTCGTATTCAGTCATCAACAATACCAGGCATTTGCTAGTGCGGATTGTGAGTGAAAATTTATTTCTTCACGCGTATTTAAAAAAACAATCCATTCAAAAATTGTAAAACCAACGCTGATTCAAAATCAAGCTTTAAAAAATGAAGGATGAACTCACCGAAATTTCAAAACTCAAAACGCGTTTATGACGTGAAATTTTGTGCACAGTACTGTATGTGTTGAATTTCTTTCTTGACACCTTTAAAATAACTCAATTTAAAAATTTTAAAACCTACGCAGACTCAAAATCAAGCTTTAAAAAATGAAGGATGAACTCACCGAAATTTCCACACTCAAAATGCGTGCATGACGTGAAATTTTGTGCACAGTACGTATTAAATTTCTTGCTTCGCACCTTAGAAAAAAACTGAATTTATAAATTTTTAAACCTACACGGACTCAAAATCAAGCCTTAAAAAATGAAGGATGAACTCACCGAAATTTCAAAACTCAAAATGCGTGTATGACGTGAAATTTTGGGCACAGTATGTATTAAATTTCTTTCTCCGAGCCTTTAAAAAAACACTACATTTAAAAATTGTAAAACCAATGCAGACTCGAAATCAATCTTTAAAAAATGAAGGATGAACTCGCTGAGATTTCAACACTCAAAATGCGTTTATGACATGAAATTTTGTGCACAGTATGTATTGATTTTTTTTCTTCGCGCCTTTAAAAAAGACACGCAATTTAAAAATTTTAAAATCTTCGCAGACTCAAAATCAAGCTTTAAAAAATAAAAAATGAACTCACCGAAATTTCAACACTGAAAATGGGTTTATGACGTGCACAGTATGCATTATTTATTTGAAGTTCCCCGAAAAGAATTCAATATCATACCACAAAATGCAACATTTTCTGAACACGTGAAAACGTTGGGAAATTGCTCTTTGAGTGTTTTATTTTGAAAATTTTCGGAAATCACGGTTGAAAATTTCCATAAACACCATTTAGGAAAAAATTACTGTAGTTTCTTCAATTCCCATGAGAATTGAATGGCAAATCGGTGAAAACTGATTTTGAAGATAATTTTTGGTTGGATTTCGCATTTGTGTCATCCAAGTGATTGGAAAAAAATCAATCAAGTAAAAAAAGATTTATCCTCGGCTAAATTTCGCATCTTTTAGTCAATCGATGCAAATTTTCATTTTAGTACGTTCCACATGAATTGACCAGCAATCGTGAGGAAAAACAGGCTTGAAAGATTATTTTCGGTTCAATTTTTTTTCAATTTTTAGTCCCCCGATTCGCTTCAATTGGGACTCAATTTTTTTTATTTCATGCCAAGTGGATTACACAGCACTTAGGGTGAAAACTGAGTTTGAAAATGATTTTTGGTCAAACTTCATACTTGTTAGTCAAGCAATTCGCTTCGAATCGATTGCAAATATTTCACGGGTAATAAAACCTCGGAAACATTTTCAGAAAAAAAACGTACCAAACTCAGAATTACAAGGTTTTGACAGATATTCTCACAAAATTACCAACATACGCGCAAAATTAAGAAAAACTTGAACGAAAAGATTATTTCTTCGCTAAATTTCTCAAAACATTTTCAATCCTTGATTTAAAATATCACGCACCAACATTAGGGAATAATTTCCATTGAAAGCGTCTCAAAATGTTCGTGCTTTTTTAAAATTTAAAAAAGCCCAGTGAATTAAAAACGCGTGGCTTCTTATATTTACAAAAATTCTCGCTGAATCACAGACGAGCGAGAATCAAATAAGAGTCAGTACAACAAGAAATTCCTGAAAATTATCCACAATCCTCAGCACTTCGCAAAATGTAGGAAATATTTTCCGTTCAAAGTGTCTCAAAAATTCGACGGAATGAATGCGGTGGAATGCGGAAGACGCCCTCTGGCGGAAATGCCACTCGGACAGGAGAGAAACTCAAAAATCATCGGAGGAGAAAAAACCACGCCCGGGGAATTTCCTTTCCTAGTATCCCTGAAATACGGCGGGGTTCGACATTTCTGCGGGGGATCCTTGATCAGTGCCCAGTGGATCCTAACAGCAGCTCATTGCGTCTCCGGGTAAGGTTTCAAGACTAAATTTACTCCCAGCATTTATTTCTCCAGCTAAAAAAAAGTATATCATAAAAGCGTCGGGAAGTAAAAAAAATTTCCAAAAATTATCAGACTTTCCATTAAACAGCCCTCAATCAAGTTGAAGAATTTATGAAAATTATTCTCCGGTTAAAAAAAACCGGACATTCAATCTCAATATCATATATTGTAATAGTCACCAATTCCAAAGGAATTTTCAACAGTAAATGAATCAGATAGAACATAATCCAGAAAATTTTTCAGAGAAATTGTGTAACGAGGAGTTTGAAGTTGATTGTAAAATAACCCCGTGATTTAATTCAGCACATGCGTCATAATTAACGGGGGGGGGGGAATCATTAGTCTGCGATTTTTCGAATGGTCATCAATGATTTTGAAAAGTCGGTTCTAAAACGTTGAGGGTAATGAAACAAGTCTGAATCTTGAAATCAATGGTGTTTCCTATTTGAATGAGGTACAGTAGCAAGTTTCACAGACCAGTGAAATGGATTCACGGGAAAGATGAAATGATTTACTTTTTACTTTTATGAAGTAATTCAATTTCATGATGATTAATTTTTTAATTTCATTTAAAAATGTACAAAATCGTATTTAAAATGCCTGCAATTTTATTTCAAAATGGCTACAATTTTATTTTAAAATGGCTACAATTTTATTTGAATATACCTACAATTTTATTTACAAATTCCTACAATTTTATTTACAAATTCCTACAATTTTATTTTAAAATGTCTACAATTTCATTTTTAAAAGTCTACGATTTTATTTAAAATGTTTACAGTTTATTTTTAAAAGTCCACAATTTTATTTAAAAATGGCTACATTTTATTTTAGAATGGCTAAAATTTCATTTTAAAATGGCTACAATTTTATTTTAGAATGGCTACAATTTTATTTTAGAATGGCTACAATTTCATTTTAAAATGCCTACAATTTTATTTTAAAATGTCTATAATTTCATTTTAAAAAGTCTACGATTTTATTTAAAATGTTTACCTTATATTTGAAAATGTCTAAAATTTCACTTCAAAATATACACAATTTTTATTTTTAAAAGTCCACAATTTGATTAAAATGCCTATAATTTTATTCAGAAATGACCACAATTTTATTTTTAAAAGTCCACAATTTGATTAAAATGCCTACAATTTTATTCAAAAATGACTACAACTTTATTCAGAAATGACTAAAATTTTATTTAGATTATCTAAGATTTTATTTAGAATATCTAAGATTTTATTTAGAATATCTAAGATTTGATTTAGAATATCTAAGATTTTATTTAGAATATCTAAGATTTTATTTAGAATATCTAAGATTTTATTCAGAATACCTAAGATTTTACTTAGAATATCTAAGATTTTATTTTAAAATGTATAGTTTATTTAAAAATATATACTGTACTTTATTTGAAAATGTAAAAAATTTTATTCAAAGATGCATAATTTTTTTAGAATACGTATTCGTATTCTATAGAATTCGTATTTTTTTCGAATCAGCCCAGCAGCAGAATTCCTGAGCGTAGTGCTGGGAGAGTACGACATGCAAAATGACACGGAAGGGGAATCCATAATCAAGATAGAGAAGGTGTTCAGACACGAGGAATTCCAGTTCTCCACCCTGAATAACGACATCGCTCTGGTCAGACTGCGGAAACCCGTCAATTACACAGACAGAATTCAGCCTGTTTGCGTCATTGAGGATGATGAAGTGACATACCTCATAGGGCGCCTAGAATCGTCGCCGGATGGGGACGAACTGAGGAAGGTTGTACACTGAAATACATTTTCGAATAAATTAAATCAAATTTATAAATCACAGTCACTCGTGGAAAATGTTGAGCCGCACTTGAAGCAAATTTATTTGAAGAAAAAACACTGAATGCGATTTGAATACAATTTGAGTTAGGTTCTACACAATTGTTTTCAATTTAATTGCTCAAATAATACAGGTGAACTCTCAAATTCAAGGGACAAGAAAAAAGTTTATTGCAGAGAACCCTTGTAAAATAGAACAGTGTTCCCCAGCCTTTTTGGGCCCAAGGACCAGCAAACATAAAAAAAAAAAAATTTTGCGGACCGGCAAATTCCCAAAACATTTTCTGCGGACTGGTGAAGCTTCAAATTTTTTTTGCAGAATTGCCTTATTTTTGCTTGAATTTCATTAGGCAGGTAGACACAAGAAAAATACAGTCAAGAATGTCATCAAACAATTAGAAAGGTGGGCTAAGAGGAAGGTTTCTCAAAACAAAAAATTAAAATAATTTACTTCAGTAATTGAAAAAATTGTCTCAAATGTTATCAGGAGAAAAGCGAAATTTAAAATTTTAGGTTAAAAGAACAGACTTCATCCCAACTTTTGATAAGTTTATCATGCTGAAAATGTCCTGCGGACCGGCAAAAAACTTCTGCGGACCACAGGTTGGGGAACACTGATCTACAGTACAGAGAAAAACCTTTGAGAAACAAAACAAAAAAGTGGAAACTCAATTAATGTACAGTACATTAAAATAGTGCCTCCCATATTTATCCAAGATGATGAATATTATACTGCATGTGGCACAAAGAAAAAAAAAAACAGCATAAGAGAATATGCAAAACGAAATTAAAGTGCACAGAAATACCGACTCGTTTGACACAATATCAATATTTTACATCACAATTTTAAGAAAAAAAGAAAAAAATTTTCGAATTATTCAGGCGGAACTTTGCCAGACACACCACTCAAGGTGGAACTACGAGAAGTGGACGCAGCTCGTTGCAGAGTTCATCTTTTGCACAAACTGACAGTGGGTAACGGTCAAATTTGCGCAGGGGTTCTCAGGGGCGGCAAGGACGCTTGTCAGGTGAGAATCTGTTTTCAAGTTTGAAATATTTCAAGATTAAATATACCCTCGGAACAAGAAAAATGCTCATCTTAATCATCAGCACATCACCGATTTCTTTGCCCCTTGAAAGAAAAGTTCATAGTTTTTTTGTTTTCCTTTTTTTTGTCGGACGTCGAGGGGACATAAGATATTCGAAATAGAAATACAGTGAGACCCCCACATGCAGACGCCTCAACCTGCTGACAATTCGACATAGGGACACTTATTTTCCCAGAAAAAAATAATGAATAAGGCCCAACATGAGGACACTAACTCAACGTACGGGCATTTTGTGAAAAAATTTCAAATACCGTATTTACTCAAGTACCACACGCACCTTTTTTCTCAAATTTCAGAAGAAAAAAAAGGGGTGCGCATCATAAGCAGGTACACATTTTTCAAGAAGTTTTAGGAAGTTATGTGTACAATATACTTTATTATAATGGATAAATTTGTAAAAAAAAATTGTAACAAGAAAATTTTTTGTACTGAAAAAGTTGAAAACTGATCAGATTTTTGTTCAATGCATGTCTAAAGTCGATTTTTTGTTTTTATTTTTTAAATTTTTTTGCTTTTAGATTCCCTAAAAATTGGGGTGCGCATCTCACTTGGGGATCCGATTTTAGCCAAATTTACAACTGAAAAACCCCTGTGCGTGCCTTACTTGAGGGCGTGTGGTACTTGAGTAAATACGGTACATTTCAGGCCAAATCACAAGAAACAGATATTTCCAACCCTAAAATTGATGTAAGAAAAGTTCTTGGGGATTTCTCTCACCAAATTACTGTCCATTTAGCTAATTAAAAAAATAACCCCAAGCATAGAAGAACTCCTACTTTTTTTCATTTGAATGTTGTTTTTGTAGATGCCAAAATTTCAGTGTACAGTACAGAGATACACTATTCAATGCTGAAAATGTTCTGATTGAGTTGAAAATGTATTTGGTAATTCAAATTCAAGTGGCAAACAAATTTTTTTTTCAGGGAATTCTGAAGAATATTTCTTTCCGCAGAACACAAATGAAAAATTATATAATGTAAGTCTATGGGAAAACAAGACTCGACTTGGGGACACTCTTGATGTGAGGAATAAATACTCAACAAATAAAGATTGAAATTAACTTGAAAAGAATAGGTTGATGTTAGGGAATAAAACACAAGAATTTGGTTGGGCTACGACCCAGGTGGAATTCACCCTACTATTAAGTTGGTATAATTCAGGTTTTTTCACAAGTATGAAAATTGCTTTGATTTTCGCAAGAGTCGACCGTAGAACAACACACACAAAAAGCTCAAATCGGAATGATGAATTTCGCCGATTTGGGAAAACAGGGAAACAGTCCTTCAAGGACAAAAAAAGCAACAGGATTTGGCAGTAAAAGGCAGTCTTGAAGGCTTCCATAAGAAACGTGAGAATCAAGGTCTTCCGCGGTTCTCACAGAGATGAAAATAGAGGATGAATTTTACTGAGGATTTGGGTTCTCTGATTTCATTGAGTCTATTTTTGTAGAAGCTATATAATTTTTGCGACACTTGATACACCAATTACGTCCGCATCTCAGGGTCTCACTGTAATGACTACAAGCCCCAGGGAGGCCAGAATTTTTCTCCGAGTCCACGAACAACTTTAAAGCATTCGCGATATTTTTTGGGGAATCGGGAATACTGTTATTTCCGCACCACTTCCCCTTTTTTTTCTACCGTCACAGGGTGACAGCGGTGGCCCGTTATTCGCACCTGGCCCAGACGGACGGGTCATCCAACAAGGCATCGTATCATCCGGGATCGGATGTGGCCGACGAGGCAAACCGGGCGTTTACACCAAACTCACAGCTCATCTCCACTGGATCGTGAAAACCATTCGCACTTACGAACAATCTCTCATCACAGAACAACCGCCTCCTTGATGCAAAATCAGCAACAACAAAAGGCCTCCCAATTTCACGCAATTTTTTTTTTTCCACATTCGGTCGGTGTCATTATTCTTCTGTTCTTTTTCCTCTCGTCAAAGCGATCGGACATCGCGAAATTGTGATTGCGGATATGATTATTATGTTTTGTTCATTACAACGGAAGTATTCTCTCTTTGAAAATTACCAATAAATGAATAAATGAAAAAAAACGCCTGTCCGGAAATAATTTACGCGCAACGGGACATGAGGTCGATGGAAGCAGACAGAAAACATTTTACAGGGCATTGACCCGTTATATGACAACACGAAATAATTTTCAGGGATTGGGTAGCGAAAAACCCCGGAGAAAAAGCTTTCCATCAATGATACAAGCAAACAAAATTTTGGGAGATGAACTCGCAGTTTCCATAATTCACTGAACAAAACAAAAGATGATGCTGATGATCTTTGACAAAGTTCACTAGTAAAAATGCAGGAATATGATGAGTATTTATGCCTGCCAAATTTTTGAAAACGAGTTGCCAGACCCAAATCCGGAGCTCGACCCTGATACTGAAGAAAAATCCAAGGACCCAAATGGAATTTTTTCAATACTTTCAGTTGAAATTGTTCGAAGACACGCGAAATTTGAAAAAAATGTTCTGAAGAACAACGAAAACTACATAAATTGACAAACCTGTGAGCCTCGGACGAAACCACTATGACCCGACACGGCGCGGAAACCACGAGCCGTTCCGAAAGCAACGCAGTCAAAAACACGTGACCCAAGTGATTGCTCTGAAACGTCTTCTCGTACCCGTCCTCCGAGAACCCGTATTCTGGCATTCCGATCCCGGCATTGAGAATTAAAAAGTCCAGCTTTTCATAGCGGGACAGGAAGTCTTCGGCAAACCGTTTGACACTCGACAGGGAGTCGAGATCGCAGGGCATGGGTTCGATGTCGGGTTGCAGGTGCTGAATCGCTGTCATCATTTTGGCACGAGCTTCTTTGGCTTTTGCCGTGTTTCGACACGCCATGACGATTCGACAGTTCTGTCGAGCCAGCGCTTCGCAAGTCGCGTAACCGACTCCCGAATTTCCACCTTCGCAAAGAAATGAGGCGTCAGGAATTTTCAAACTGATATCAGAAATTATTTTGAAGTACTTTATTGACAGGATGGGTAATTCTAAAATTTCTGCGGTTACGCTGCCATTGCAAAAAGGAAACAAAATATGCATATTTCCGCATTAAAACTTGGCTCCGAATTCGGAATATTTCAATACTGTACCGCACTGCGTAATTTTGATTCCACTCTGAATAAAGAAATATACTCCATCCCGACGAAAACTCGTGCAGGCAATCAACACAGCATTTCAGCAGGAGAATATCATCATAATGCCAAAAGAAAACGGTTTTCAAAAATATTTCAATTTTCAAGACAGTTCAATGAATTGACAAGTAAATTTACCTTTTCAAATAGTCATGAATATAAGAGGAAAAAAATCCGAGGGCAATTGAACTGAATAAATGCTGCTTCTCGAATTTCCTAGCTTCACAAATTCAGCGTGAACCGTGGTCCAACATTTTTCCAAGCTATATTTTCGGCGTAAAAAAAAAAAAAAAAACTGATGAACGCCAAAATACAATTAACTGCCTTCAAAAAAATGTCTTCAGCTTCAACTCTTCGATTGTTTCGTTTATGATTCACGAGCACTTTCGCGATGATAAATGAGATGATAAATTACACACGAAAGGATGAATCAGAGACATTCATCACATGAACTTACCAGTTACAATAGCAATTTTTCCTGACAAATCAAGTCCGTGCAAGACTTGACTAGCAGTTGAACTAGAGTCGAATCGTTGCCTGAATTTTGTTCCTCCAGCTGAAGCATTCTTTTCCACTGCAAAAGCCAATCGCGGGTCCGTGAAAGTTTTCCTGTTGTTCACTGTATCCACGTAAGTGATTTTTCCTTCATCATCCACTTCTTGTTTCCAGCCAAAGGGTAACGAGCTTTTCGGAATGATCTTCTCTTTCCCTAAAATAAAAATTTTAACAGAGCAAATTTCAATAGAAGTACTGAACTTGAACACTTGACCAAAAAAAAGTTTGAACTCAATTTTTTGCAGATGCAATAAAGCAATTAAACACCGCTTTTCCCAATCTTCATCTTCTTATCCGATAGATGCCGCCGCAAAGTTTGATGGGGAATCATTTCAAGTGGGATACAAAAATTACAATGGCTACTACCATATATTTCAAGTTAGTCCATTAAGCTTGGTTAGGCTCATTTTTGGGGTGGTGGAATTACGTTGTAATTTCAAAACCAGCTTATTGTCGTCCAGCCTCTCCTGGAATTATGTCATGGAAAAAATCTTCTCTTTTTGCATAAGGTTGTTCAAATTTCAGGAAAAAGAATATGTTGACAATTTTATTACAGTTTAGCAGAAAAAAGAAATTGCCAAATGCGATATTATTCCTGACAGCGATATTCCTGAGGACATTAAATCTCCACGACATTATTCCAGTGTGACGAGGTTAGGCCTGGCGACGTTATTCCAGCCACCCTCATTTTTCTTGAGAAATGCGATTCGTGCGACACCTGCCTGGCGTAATTTCAACTCAAGCATGATCCGCTATGAATACGTGACACACATTTTTACGGTATCTGTCTCATAGAAGCAAGTTTGAGCGTTAAAAAAAGTATATCAAGTTTTTCTTTCCCATCAGAATCAATCACACTTTTCACCTCACATAATCTGAAAACTCACCAGTTTTGGGATGAACCCAGTGCGTGCTTTTCGACGAATGATCAGTATAATAAACACGACCGTCTAAAGTCGCGCGTTCTTCCCACCCCGGGGGCAATTCGTCTTCCGAATCCGTTTCCGGCAAGTTCATGATGCCCCCTTTGTGCGTCATATTTTTTCCCCCTCTCACACTGCGAATTGAAAAGAAAAAATCACTAAATTCATGATTTTGAATATCAATACAAAAATAATAATAATCGCGGAACGCACGAAAGAAAAGTGCTGCATCCAGCCCCCAGAAGCACACTGAATTTTTTTTTTGGACAAAAGCTTTTGACAAAAAATCGTAAAAATTGGGAAACGTGATGTGCACAGTGCTTCTCTCTCTCTCTCTCTTTCGTTTTTGCTGGGGATGGAAATTTTGCAGTTTATTCTTGCATCGCCTCGTCGTCTGGATGACGGCCATCGCCTCCGCCATTCGTTGGATGAAATTCACCTTCGTCACCGTCGCATTCTCCGCCATTTTGTTCGTTGTCATCCAGATAGCCGATTTCATCCTCTGCGACACGCAAAAAAAAAAAAAAAAAAAAGAGACCCACAGTTGTATTATTTTTCTTAACAAATTTTTGCTCAGGATTCAGTGACAAAATGAACAGAAAACGTCACCCATGGATAATTTTATTGCTGAAGAACTATAAAATCTCTTTCAAAACAGGAAGGACTCAAAATATTCTCTGGGCAGTGAGACTCGTGAAGAATGTGAATTTTTCGACTCTGTCTATTAGAATGACTAATTGTTTTTGTGAGCAAAGATTGATTAGAAGTGACAAAATTTTTTTCAACACAAAATAATCCTATATTCCATGTCTGGTTACCTTCAAGAAAATTTTTGGGTCTATGATAACACAAAGATTTCTCAACACCAACAAAATTACTGTAAATCAAAATCCTTCCATTATTCTTAAAATTCGCGAGAAACGATCGGTTTGCTTTTCGAAAGTTTGCCACTTATTAAAAAAACGTTTATACAGTATTGACACTATCAGCAACATTTTCTTCAAACCAAAGGCAATCCGAAGAAAAAGAACCAAGAAAAACAGGAGGTTTAAAAAAAACAGTTTTTTCCTACCTCGATTAGGATTGGATGTAACAGGGTCAAATTCTTCCGTAAGGTTCCACAAAAACCGAGCAGGTGCGATTGTGCCAAAGGTAGTGGGACGACCTGAGTGTTAACATAAATAATAACATTTCTCGAATTACTGTACTGGACTCAATTTCAAGTTTTTCTCGGTTCTTGTTCAACAGAAACACATTTTTTTACGTCGGAGTCCGCAAGTGTTACGGCGAACTTTTATCATTTCCTCTCCTATTAAAACGCCCATTATAAATAAAAAAGTTGTACCCCTCGTTTTCGAAATAAAAACGTTTGAATAATAGCATCGAGTGAAGAACACAAAATTTTAACTTAGGAACAAAAATCAAAATAAAGACCCTTATAATTACGTGGTTCACGCGTAAAATTGCATCAAGTTTGAATGAAAAGCCGTTTGAATCCCAAGAACTAACCGGAATTGGATTGATCCTCGTCTGGATGAAGGGACTGACAATGCGACNATAAAATCTCTTTCAAAACACGAAGGACTCAAAATATTCTCTGGGCAGTGAGACTCGTGAAGAATGTGAATTTTTCGACTCTGTCTATTAGAATGACTAATTGTTTTTGTGAGCAAAGATTGATTAGAAGTGACAAAATTTTTTTCAACACAAAATAATCCTATATTCCATGTCTGGTTACCTTCAAGAATATTTTTGGGTCTATGATAACACAAAGATTTCTCAACACCAACAAAATTACTGTAAATCAAAATCCTTCCATTATTCTTAAAATTCGCGAGAAACGATCGGTTTGCTTTTCGAAAGTTTGCCACTTATTAAAAAAACGTTTATATTGACACTATCAGCAACATTTTCTTCAAACCAAAGGCAATCCGAAGAAAAAGAACCAAGAAAAACAGGAGGTTTAAAAAAAAACAGTTTTTTCCTACCTCGATTAGGATTGGATGTAACAGGGTCAAATTCTTCCGTAAGGTTCCACAAAAACCGAGCAGGTGCGATTGTGCCAAAGGTTGTGGGACGACCTGAGTGTTAACATAAATAACATTTCTCGAATTACTGAACTGGACTCAATTTCAAGTTTTTCTCGGTTCTTGTTCAACAGAAACACATTCTTTTACGTCGGAGTCCGCAAGTGTTACGGCGAACTTTCATCATTTCCTCTCCAATTAAAACGCCCATTTGTAAAAAAAAAAGTTTTACCCCTCGTTTTCGAAATAAAAAATTTGAATAATAGCATCGAGTGAAGAACACAAAAATATAACTTCGGAACAAAAATCAAAACGTTCTGGGAATATTAATGCACCAAGTGCGCATTTTAACGTAGTTCAAACTTACTTTTCGGCAAACTTAGGGTTCTTGATTGGCCTTAACCTAACTAGGAGCAGACCTACTTCCCTGACTGTTACGCTGATGGCTTGGTACATGTCCTGAAGGACTGATTTGTCGTCCGGAATGAAGTACACCTCAGAGCTCGGGTCATCCCCAGTACCACTGCTTTCAGATTCGCTAGAACTACCTGCAAATCAATTTTTAGATTTTTTTTTCGAGTTGACAACACATTGAAGACGTCAAATACGCATTCGAGGATCTCGCAAGGTCATCAAGTAAAATAAAATGTAAAGTAACATAATTAAATCTCTTTTATCCACATTCAAGAGAGCTACCAAAAAAAAAGCAAGTATTAAAAGAGCATGCGTACAAATTAGCAAAAGCACAAAACTGCAAAAAATTACCCCAAAGAAATTTTATCACGTCCTGGAAACGAAAAATTTCGATAATCGCATTCGGGAAAAAAGCTAAAAATCCAGTGGCCTGGTGCCAATGTGTAACAGGATCCGTATGAAAAATTAGTTTCCAATGATAACTTAGCCTGAAACATACAATTAGTTTCCCATTAAACAAAAATCAACATGAGACCCGTAGCAGAAGTCATAATGAAGTTAATCTTCGGGGGTTCTCGTGATTTCGAAAGACTATTTTTCGCACTGAAATTTATCAAAGCGCTGAACTGGAATTCTTTCCAAAATTTCATAAAGCGCACAAGAACAGAAAACTTAATTTTCAACATTCACAGATGAACCACTTCTCTGATCAGCAATTTCCTGATCAGCAAAAAAAAATACAGTTCAATTGCTAATTTCTCTTCAGGTCCAGTTTATCCTCGAGCGTGATCCAGTATATCATTAAGGTGTACTTCAAACTGTTTATTTTTACATGTGTGGTAAAAGGAACCGTAAGTCTAGAGACAGGTCGTACTGTTTGTCATTGAGGCTGCCCTTACAACTGTTCAGTGCCCTGTGCCGCACGTGTCTGATACTTGGATATTCCAAAGTGAAGCCTTCGCCAGAAGAATCATTCACCCAGGATAACGCACTAGAAAATTGATTCAAGACACCAGTCACATCATTGTTAGAGTCACACAAATAATTGTAAAAACCTCAAAAGATCCGAAATGACATACAATGCCTAAAATTGTAAACGCACTGAACTTACAGTAACCAAAGTCACAGATAATAAAGCTATAAAAAAGCATAAGCATTCGACGAAAAACAAAATGTCTGCAAAAACAGGAAAAATATTCGCACTCGTAACCGACATTTGAACTGTATTTTCAACAATGAAGTTTGACCCAAGCTTCATTCACTTTGAATCACAAAAAAGGCGCTCAAATTATGGCATGAATCCCCCCAGGCAAAAAATGCATTAAAAAAAAACAACTCGAACAATATTTTTGGTTTTTGAAAAGTAAAACATTTAAATTTGCTTCGACTTTTAACACCTACTTTACAGTGCTCTGTGAGCTTAGTAGCGTTTTTAGGAGGTTCCGTTTTTTACGTAAGGTCTTTTTGAGGTTTTTATTTTGATGTGAACAATTCCTCAGCAACTTGGATGGCAAAAACTGGAATAGCAACAAGTTGCCCACCAACAACTTAAACCCTTGACAACTAGGATAGCAACAACTCTCAGACTTTTTTTTTAACTTTTTTGCATATAATTTTTCTATTTATTATTTGCAGAATGTACCTTGTCTGGAGGGAATTTGAAAGTATGCTAATTCATTAGACTTAGGACGACAGTCAGGGAGCCCTTCTGTTTCAAGTCACTCTTTCAATCCACATGAAAGTGGTGACAAGGTATTAGCTTACAAAATCCTTATCCATTTTAAATTTTGAAATCCAAGGGTTCACGCCTCTTCAGAATGCCATTTGGAGGATGTAAAATTCCACCTGAACAAATACTCAAGCTAAGTTAGTCAAATGATGAATATCCCCGAGGATAACTGATGAAGTGATATTGGTATTTTATATCCTCTAAGTAGGTGGAATTTTATATCATCTGAATAATATTCAGAAGAGGTTCAAGCACTTGGATTTCTAAAATCAAAATACCGTATTCACTCAAGTACCATGCGCACCTTTTTTTCTCAAATTTCAGAGGAAAAAAGGGGTGCCTGTCATAAGCGGTTAACATTTTTTAAAGAAATTTTAGGAAGTTATGTGTGCATTATACTTAATCATAATCAAAAAATTTGGAAAAAATGTAACAAGAAAACTTTATTTCACTGAAAAAGTTGAAAATTGATCAGATTTCTGTTCAATTCATGTCTAAAGTCAATTTTTTGTTTTTATTTTTGAAATTTTGTGGTTTTAGATTCACTAAAAATTGGGGTGCGTGTCTTACTTGGGGATACAATTTTAGCCAAATTTCCAACTGAAAAACCCCTGTGCGCGCCTTACTTGAGGGCACATGGTACTCAAGTAAATACCATAGATAAGGATTTTGAAAGTGAATACCTTGACACCACTTTCATGTGAATTGGAACAGAAGGGCTCCTTGACTGTCCTTTTAAGGAATTAGCATATATTCAAACTCCCTCCAGACAAGGAACAATCAGCAAAGAATAAATAGAAAAATTGAACGCAAAAAAGTTTTAAAAAAGTGTGCGAGTTGTTGCACTTGACAAGTTGTTGCTATCCCAGTTTTCACAGTTTTGGTGACGTTGAACAGCGATAAGGTCAACGGCAATAGGCTCAACAGGACATAGGCTGCATTTAATCGGGCAAAAGTAGGGATTTAGAGTAGTTTTGACTTTTAAAGTCTAAAAAAAGGGAATTCTGTGAGTTATTATCGCATGTATCTCTCCAGACAAAAAATGAATTGCAGAAAAACTTGAACAATATTCGACAAAGACCAGCCTGCTTTCACTCCTAAATCTAAACAGAACTGAACATTTCGGATGAAATTTCAAACGACATTGAAATCATCGCATGAATACTTTCAGACAAAAAATGCACTCGAAAAAATTAGAACAATATTCGACAAAGACTAACCCGGTTTCATCTCTAAATCTGGACACGACTGAAAATGTTGGATTAAATTTCGAACTGACTTCATCATCGGATAACGAAGACAGTCATTAAAGTTTTGCAAACAAATGACGGCATGAAAAAAAATTTGAATACCACTCAGAGAAAACTAACCTCTCAGCGATGTAAAGGGTTCCTTTCCCAACTGAAACCTTGCTCACCACAGCCTCCGTGTTTTTCCCTTCGAAGCGGATACCTTCAGAAGGCGGTGTGATCTGGCGCAAGAACATGACAGTTGACATTAAAACTTTCGGATAAAAATGTTCTCATATTGCATGAAAAGTTCAAGATAGCAGAGAACTCACAGAGCAGTTGTAGAAAAAACTTCAGTCCAAATTAAAGTATATTTGTCAAAATAACAAATTTATTCTGTAGTTATTCCTCCTAATGCTCACCACAGTGTGATGGTGTCTTTTTTTTTGCCCCAACTCTCTCAGTTTATAATTGGTTTACCTTCATTCTCCTCATCGAAAGCATTAGCAACGAAAACTCGTCAGTGACTCGCAAGACTTCTGAGAAGCCCCTCGGATTTTTTTTTTCACAAAGAAAAACAATAATCATTAGCACCACAACGATATCAGGTTTCCTTTCCAGATAATGCGCGTCTCAGTCCGATTATCACGTCTCAAAAAACTTTGCCTGGGTTCATCAAGTTTTTCGGATCCAAAGCGGCTTTAATCTGACGCATAACGTCCACATTAACGCCTCCGAGCTCCTCGTCCAGATACGGTTTCTTGCCCCATCCGACCCCGTGTTCACCGGTGCAGGTTCCCTTCAATGCCAGCGCTCTTCTAAAATTACAACAATTTATTAATAAAACGCAAAAAATTGAATATTCGGAGGAAAGAATCCACGAGGAAAACAATATGTTCAATAATTGACCGACTGACCGAGCCATGCGTGAAGCGAGTTCTCTGGCAGCTTTCAGTTGGGAATCGTCTTCCGGGTCAAACATTACAAAAGAGTGGAAGTTCCCGTCGCCAACGTGGCCGAGAATTGGACCTAGATTCCGAAAATCCGATTCGATCAACTTCACATAGCTTTCACGGAATGCATTTCACTTCAACAACAGGCAGGATAACTACGGAAATTCGAGGATAATTTTCATGAAATTGTGGCAGGATGCGGTCGAAAATCCACTTCTAGAGTTTGACCAGAAAAAAAGGGGCATCCGGAAAATTCCTCCGTGGCCTGAACTAATTGTTTTTATTTACAGTATTTTCAAATCCACAGCAAAGCTGATAGTTTCAAAGGAATGATCACGTTCATAAAATATTTGAATTCTGCCTGATGTGCTTCGAAAATATTCGGAAGATAAATCCGCAGAATAAAATCCAAATCTTGACACTGAGTCACGCATGGAAAGGAGGCACTTGAAGCGTCATTTAAATTAAATGTACACTTCAAAAACCTTCTTTACAAGCCATTTACTTTTTTCTGTCGAATTTGATCATCGTTATCACTGAAAAGAATTCGAGACTATGTCTATGATTATCACGCACTTACCAAGAACTAAAGCAGTATTCCTCAACCTTTTTGTGCCCGCGGACCGGCGAATTTTAATAAAATTTTTCGCGGACCAGAAAAGAACCATACAAATTCTGCAGAAATATCTTAAAAGACTAAACTTTTATTGAAAAATTTTATTCCAAGAACCAATGAAGCAGCTCTAGCGGAATGTCTTCAAAAAATTAGAAAGCTGGGCTTGAAGAAAGGTTTCTCCAACAAACACTCTAAATTCTTTATTTCAGCAGGTTGGAATTCGTCTGGAACGTTATTAGGAGGAAAGCCAAGTTTTATTCTTCACCAGATAATTCCAACTGCCATTGTCTTTCCAAAACGTCAAGATGAAGATAACAGACTTCATAACATCTTTAGATAAATTTATCATGCAGAAGACAATTTCCCGCGGACCACGGGTTGCAGACCACTGAAACTCCAGTGGAATTCGCAACACCAACTCACCAGAAAGGCCAGACACGTTGAAATCGTGCTGAGTTTCCGTAATCATGGTCTCCAGTTGAGACACAGGCACGCAAACGTCAGTAATGACGGCTCTGTACCCGGGCTTCGTCGAGAGAATTGCGTAGTACATGTCATGACGGGCCTTCCAAAGCTTGGATCGATCCTCCGGCGTCTTGGCGTAACGAAATCCAGAGCCACCGTTGGCTTCCGACAAATCTCCTGTAACACACACACAGTACAGTAATAACTCATTTAATGGACTTCATCCTTTCCAGCGGGAGGTCCATTATCCGATAAGTGAAACGGACATGGAATTTAAGAAAAATACAGAGCGACAAACTACTGTAGTTCGAAAACTCTCGAAACATTCCCCAAACGGATTAATAAGGTGTTGTTTGAAATGACTCATCTGATCCATATCAAAAACAAATTTCAAAATAACCGAAGAGAAATACAGTACAGTACAATTAACAACTGCCATTCGAAACAAACCCCAGTAAATGGGGAAAACACTTCTCAACACATCATAAATATCAAAAAGTTCATCGCCGAACGTCCTCCCGAAAATTCAAACAACCGGGTCAGTACAGTACAATTAACAACTGCCATTCGAAACAAACCCCAGTAAATGGGGAAAACACTTCTCAACACATCATAAATATCAAAAAGTTCATCGCCGAACGTCCTCCCGAAAATTCAAACAACCGGGGAATTCACGAAAAAATACAGAGGGCCAAACTGGTTCGAAAACTCTCGAAAAATTCCCTCAACGGAATTATGCGGTTTTGCATGAAATAACTTCGGTAGTATGTTCCAGATCGCACGCAAATTCGGAAATGATGAAAGGAAAATACATTACGGTACATTCAACAGCAACTACCAAAAAATGAAGAAAATAAGCCATCAAACACGGAAAAACTTCTCTCAACGGATCAAAAATATCAAAGAATTTATAGCCGAAGTGGGAGGTCCATTATGCGAAATTTCAAGCAAACGGGGAATCTAAGAAAAATTACAGAGCGACAAACTTGGCTCGAAAACTCTCGAAAGATTCCCCAATCGGAATTATGCGGTGTTGAATGAAATAACTTATTTGTTCATAATCGCATGCCAATTTTAAAAATAACCAAATAAAAATGAAGTACGTTCAACATTTCAACTACCAAAACCATAGAAAAAAATCCCTTAAACACGGAAAACACTCCCCGACACATCACAAATATAAAAAAAGATTTATATCCGAACGTAGAATTTTACTGGACACCACATTTTGCACAACGAGTTCTATTCCTTTTACAAGACGATAACTTTTCGGGCATTATGTCACACATTTTACACAATACTGGATCTGAAGAAATAACACAAGGCAAACATTTACGACGACCAGAGTATATTGCGCAATAATTAATAATCCGAGGCGTCCCTTATCCGAAAAAATTATCTTGAAACCCTTTTTTTTTGTGCAGAGAAATCGTGAAATTGCTTCCGAAACTCTACGCATGCGAAAGAAATCCTAAAATAACAATATACGAGTAGTATACATGTACTCGTACTGTACATGAAAACGTCACTCCTCAACTAAAGCATGAATTCCAGAGACTGAGACAACAGAAGGAGTACCCTTTTCGCAAGAATCCTTTGAAAGTCCGTACTCGAGAAATACAGCTCAGTACTGAAAGAGAAAATGGATAGGATATTTCCGTATAAACTGGGAAGAGGAAAAGGATTGACTCAGGAAAGGATAAGTCAATTCTTTGCTTTCACGCAATTTTTTCTTCTCCTAGAATAATTTTTCTTCCAACCAAAAGTCGATCAAAGCACGACACTTCGGGTATTGACGTGTTCAAGACTACCGGACAAGAAACAATTTTGCCAAGAATTCACGGAGTTCTACAGAAAAAAAACATCAATTTCATTCCAACTTCTGATGAACATGAAATAAAATGGAGCTTGAAGTTATTCTTCCATCTTAACGAAATAAAAACAAAGAACGGGCTGAAAATTATACGCGGATGGAAGCAAAAATACCAAGGAAATACAAATCTAACTTTCAAAGAATTCAATTCAAATAATATTTTCCTTCTTCCACAGAAAAATGCCAAGAATTGATAAGAAACAATCCGTATGAGTGGTACGCGAGATTTTTTTCTTCTTGAGGACAATCCTAGTAGTAGAATCTCATTACAACGAATTTCGTTCTAGGAAATTAATTTTTGACGTTCCTGCCCAATAGCAATAATGTCATGTAAATCAGCATTCCTCAACCTTTTTGGACCCGCAGACCAGCAAATTCTCAACAACAAAATTTCTGCGGACCAGCAAAGTTTCACAAAATTTTCGCAGACGCAAAAAAAAATTTGCGCTTTATGGCGGGCACTTCAATAGTTTTTTTTTTTGCAAAAATCTCAAACCAAGAAAACAGTTTTAGTGGTGAGTATTCAAAAAATTAGAAAGGCGTGCTGGAGAAGTTTCTCAGAATGAAACATTTAAAGGATTCATTTCAGCGGGTAAAAATTTGTCTGAAGCGTTATTGGGAGAAAAGCCAACATTTATTTTTCATCAGATAAATTCAACTGCCATCATTTTCCCGAGATTTCAGACAAAGATAACCGATTTCATTACTACTTTCCATAAATTTATAGTGCTCAAGAAAATTTCCCACGGACCGGCAAAAACTTCGTTGGACCACGGGTTGCGGAACACTGATTCCGAACTGAATTTATTTTCGCAACGAAGCTTTTTTGCAGGTCCCAACAGCTTCGTTGTAACGAGATTTTACTGCACCACTATAAAAATAGGTGCCCAATTCAATTAGGATGTTGCAAAAGATGAAATTGTACTTTCCCTGGTTTCACCGCAGATCACACCAGAACAGAAAATCGCGGAGATCTAAGGAAGTAATAACTCAATATCGCACCACAGTCGCAGCAAAACTTGGCAATCAAACACACACAAGCCACGCAAAAAATATCAACTGGTGCACCAAAATTCATTTTCTGAAGAAATGCAAAAAAAAAATTAAAATGCTCACCTACAAGAGACGCTTCAGCTTCAACCGACGCCTCAGAGCCATGAAACTCAAAAAACAACGTCGGCGCAATTTCATAGTCGGTCTTGCTATAAGCATTGCACGCCTTCATCGCCTCTTCGTCCAGCAACTCGATTCTGGCCACAGGAATGCTCGAAGACATAATTTGAATAGTCGTTTCCACGGCGGATTTCACCGAAGGAAAGCTGCAGATTGCCGAAAGCATGGTTTCGGGAATGGCGTGAAGCTTCAGCGTGGCTTCCGTTATTATTCCCAGGGTACCTTCGCTCCCCAGGAACAAATTCGTGAGATTGTAACCAGCCGAGGATTTCCTAGAGATATTAGAAGGAGAAAAAATGTGAAGCTTTTGACAAAATTGCAGCGCGATTTCGAGACGAAATTACTGTACTTCGTGCATCTGTCTTTTCCTGCTGTGTGGAGAACTCGGCCATCTGCGAGCACAACTTCGAGATTCAGCACGTTCTCCTTCATTGTCCCGTATTTCACGGCATTTGTTCCCGAGGCACTCGTGGCACACATTCCACACAGGGAAGCATCAGCTCCGGGATCTATTGGAGTGTCAACCAATGAACACGACGGGGGGTTTCAAAGAAAACAAAATCAACAGATAATAATTAGAGAAGAATAAGAAGTACCGTACAGTATTTCTCTTTCAGGTCGTTTTTAAAATTTCACCGCAATCAGTTCAGAGAAAACACACAGTATTTCAACAGTTACTTCGAGCACTCCGGCGTCACTCGCTGAAATTTTAAAATTTACCCGGAAACAGGCATAAAATTCTTTATGCAGGTCACTATGTTTTTGGCATTTCGTGGAGGTTCGCTAGGTGAGTCAATTTTTTATACCTTGTAAAGATTATCGAAAAATCTCACGGAAAACACATCTAAGGGAATCATCCCAATTGGTTCAGAGACAATATTTCAAAATTTACGAGGATGTCCCAGTTGGACACGACCTCTTGATATTTTCATAGCAGGTAAGATTGTAAAAAAAATCATGACATAGCCCTCAATGTTCTGAAATGTTTGGCATGATAAGTAAAACTTTCCAGTTAAAGCCTGAAATCTTGTCAGGCTAGCTAAAATAAAATGAATTTCGTTATTCTATTCATCACCTAAAATTTTAGAAAATATACAAGTAAAGCAAAAAAATCACGTTTTCGGAGGACGAACACCTTTTCATCACCATGTGACATGAGTGGAGAACTCTGGCTGTAATTGGAAAGTTTTTACTTATGCAGTTAATTGAAAACTTTTTTTAATCTAAACAAAATACCAGAATCTTAAAACATCATGTGCTGTGTCATGACTTCATTTAACATCCGCACCTGCTATGCCAATATCAGAGGTCGCGTCCCACCGGGACAACCCTTGTATTTCGTGCACCTGACGTCACTCGCAGAAATTTTAAAATGTACCCGGAAACAGGCACTAAATACATTACGCAGGTCACTTCACTCTTTTCAATCCTGCAGTTAGTTAGATGAGGCCACCATTTTACTCCCTCGAACTATGATCAGAAAATCGCACAGAAAAAAAAAAACTAAAAATAAAAAAACCCACCAACGGGAAACCATAGACCATGATCCTTAATGAACCGATTTAGGTGTAGCCTCGTGACCCCAGGTCGTACAGAGACGAAGAAATCTTCCGCATGAACATCCCCGATCCCGTGCATTCTCATAAGATCCAAACAAACGCCTCCATTCAATGCAAGCGTTCCACCTTCCAACCCAGTCCCAGTTCCAAAGGGTATCATCGGGACGTTGAACGAATAACACGCTTTCGCCACTTCACTGACTTCGTCTGTGGTTTCAGGAAAGACAACCATTTGGGGAGGCATGGGTTCATACGGTCCTTCGTCTCTCCCGTGTTGTTCTCTGACTGGCTCAGTCAGACTGACACGTTTCTCGCCTAGAATGCTCGTCAGAGATTCAACTAGATTCTCGTCCAGTTCCTGGAATGTAGAGAGGAAGAAAAAGTAAGTCAGGGAAATACAGTTCAAGGGTTGTCCCACTTTGGCGCGACCTGGAATATTCCTAAAGTAGGTATGACTGAAAAAAATCCATTAGGATATACCCCATGATGTGGTCGGGTTCTGGAATTTTTTCAGAAATTTTAAAAATAAATTTCAAATTACTGGATTATGATTAGCAAAAACTTTCTGGTTATCGCCGGAATTCTCCACCGATGTCACAGGGTGCTAAAAATTTGTCAAGCCAGCTGAAAATTGAAATTTCTTTTTTATTTCAACAATAATGTATAATGTAGAAAAGATAGTACAGTGATTGGGATAAAAACATTTCAATCATTCAGCTGTGATTTTTTTAGCTCCCTCCAACATTGGCGGAGAACTTTGGTTGTTATTAAAACATTTTCACTCATCATCATGCAGAAAATTGCATTTTTTATCTGGGAAAAATTCCCAGAACTTCAAAAAATTATGGGCTATATCAACTTGATGTTTTCAGGTTCTGGGAATTTTTCAGGATTTTTAAAATAAAATGAAATTTACTGCATTATGAAAAGTGAAAACTTTCCAGTTCAATCAGAGTTCTCCACCCATGTCACAGGGTGCTAAAATTTGTCAGGCCAGCTGAAAATTGAAATTTCTCTGATGTTTTAACCAATGCATAAAATTCAGAAAAGACAGTAAGTAAGCCCCAAAAATATTTAGCTGGCCGTAAATTCTTGGATCACCCTGTGACATTGTTGGAAAAATCGGTCATTAGCGGCAAGTTTTCACTTATCATGCAGTAAATTGCCGATTTTTGTTTTTTAAATCTGAAAAAATCCTAGCACCACGGAGCATCATGGGCTTCATCAAATTTTGTTTTTCAAGTCATACCTATTCTAGGTCACGCCTAATTGGGACAAGGCTCGTCGTTTCAAGTTTGTGAAAACAACCTTGGCAATCGTCTGTCGAGGCTTGATCGACAAACAACGAACATCTTGAAGACGCAGCTTCTCGGCAACTCTCCTCAATCTCTGAAATCTCCCCAACAGAGAAGTCATCTCGAAACGACAAAGAAGGCATCAAGAAAACAACGTCACGAACTCAGAAATAAAAACTTGAAAGAAATTCGTTTTGCGACGGTCTCGTTTGCTAATAAAGTTCCAGTTTTTTCCACAAGTCTCACAGTATTTTTCTTTCTTTTTTTTTTCAGTAGGATATACAACAAAACGCGGAGAACCGTGGGATCATGGAAATGTGGTATCAGAGTCAACGACGGCCTTTCTTCTTTTTGCCTCCGGCACCACCGCCACCACCACCACTCGTGGCACCACCACTGGGCGCAGCACCACCGCCTTGGGCTCCTTGTCGCTGCTGCGTCCTGGATTTAAGTTTTGGGATCATCTCGCACAGGTGCTCCATAACGGCATTTTCTAGGAGCCGAAAAGAGAAGAACTACGTGAATTATCACGTCAATACAAGATCAATGTCGTGGGACTGCACAAAACTTTACATCATCCAAATCACAATACAGTGAGTTCCCGCACGACGAAACTAAACCTTTACATGGTTTTCTTGCTACGTGAATCAAATATTTCCATTGGAATACATTCTGAAAATATTAATTCGTTCCTAAGACGAGGAATTCAAAGGTAACTAAAAAGTTGATTCTTCAAAATAAAAAAATAAACAAAGAGGCACCTGCACTCATTCTTCACGCAATTGGCAAAGTTAGGTGAATCTGAACTGTTTTTTCGTCCTTTTACGCAAAAATCAAATGCAGAGTTGTTCTTCACATGCACAATCAACGTACTGTAGTTAACCACCCAGAAAAATAGAAAAATGAATCATTTTCATGATTCATTCATGATTTGGTTCACAGGTTCATTACAGGTTGGAACGCTGAGAAATACTCAGGAAAACATGCCATATTTACTCAAGCAAGACACTCACCCGAATTTTTCAACCTATAATTTAGATGAAATCCTATCCCCACAAAAAATGCACAACCGATTTTTACGGACTGAATAAATACGATATTTTCAAAACATATACAGTACATCAGAATTAAATTTGAACATTAATTCAACATGGATTCAACTAATATTCAATTGCTTTGATTTAAAAAAAAAAGTTCCTGTGGAAAGTTTTTCAATCCATTGAATCGTGCCAGGCTCCTAAACTTCCAACACTTTTTGAAAATTGAATCCCCGCCACGACATGCACCACTCTTTTTCCTTTCAATTTCGAGAAAAAAGGTGCGTGAGGTAGTTGTCAGAAATATATTCTTGACAAGAAAGGAATGATTGCTAAATTCCTTTCAATTGAAAAATTAGAAGACTGATAGATCAGCAATTAGACTTTCAGATAATCGAGCTTATGATAGCTTTACAGAAACTTGGAAAAGAAAACAGCTCGATCAGCTGGGCTGCAGCCAGGACTAAAAAGTCCTAGTATAAAATTATGTATTTTTGCTTTTGGTTGAAGAAAAGTCTCACGAGACCAGAAAACAACAAAACAACTGCAACTCATAGTGAGAGAATTGATTGAAAACACAACCAAAAAAATCTAACTCTTGCAAGGTCTGTACGATTCAAAGATCAAGACTCAATTGATTTTCTTTTCGGTTTTCAGCAAACAGGAAAACCAATTCAATAGAGAGGTGAATGCAAAAAAGGTCCTTGATGCTCAAGGATTCAACAAAAGATAGACTATGAAGGACAAAACAAATTTTGGGAGGAAGATTGTGGGAACTCGAGGTCAACTCTGGTCTCACAAGATTCCTCCAGAATTAGCATCTTTGCTGATCCTTGTAAATCTATTATTTCTGAACACCCCTTACTTTTATTTTCAACAGTAGTCGAGTAAATACAGTATGCCAAACAAGATGTAGTGACAATTGTACCCTGACTTTCTCAGTGAAAAATTTCATGCAAATTCGCGCTTTCAATTCGAACAAGGAAACACTCACTGTTGGGAATCTCGGATTTGAACGGCGTTCCGTCGTCATTCCTAATCTGGACCCTGACCTTCCCGTAATACGTGGGATTCTTGATCCTCTCCCTCGGGAAAATCTTCGGCTCCAAGAACACGTTGAAACCCGCACTGAGCAAAACGTCCTTCATCTCGTTCACATTCGGATCCGGGACACACTATAGAAAAACAAAACAAAAAATGCATGTTGCAGACACTAGTTCGGACGCTATTCGCATTACCTTTTCTTTCGCTATTCGCCGTCCTTCGCAAAGCTTCTTGTTGCTATTTATATACGCCGGATACAACGTCGCGTATCGCACTTTTTCAGACATTTTCGCGGAGGCCGACCATAATTGCGGAACCACCGGTGGAGGCGCAGCCATCGCGAAAACAACTTCCCCTATCACACACACAATAAACTGCGAAAGGATTTTCTTTAGAAAATTAGAAACATCCCCTCTCCCCATATACATCTAGACAATTTCACGATCTGGAAAAAAGTATGCCGGCGATTTTAAGACGATCAGCCACTCACTTCAGAATGTGCCTGTAACTAAACGGTACAGGGTGTCTTTTTGTACTACGCGCCAAATTTCTCAAGAATTTCCATAACAGACACGTGAATAAAGTAAAATAGAGCACCAACGCGGGAGAGCATCAACATGATGGCTGCTAAACAGAAAGTATCATTAAAAACAAATTACCCTACTGATCAACGCACCACATGCCGTTTTTTCATAAGAATTTAGCAACAACAAAAAAAGATCGACGCATCTTGATCTAATACAACTCATGGTAAGTTCTTATAATAAGTCATTTCCGCGATTTCTAAAAAAATATTGAAGGGCGCGTTTTATAAGGGGGTAAGAAATGTCCGAGAAATTTAGGAAAGAAGCTAGAAAAAAGGGAAAGCTTGATCTTTCTGGTTTGATTCAATTTCTGAAACATGTAAGTGAACAAGAATGAAGATCTTATTCAGCAATTCTATAGGCAATTGAATTCTAGGTATCCATAATTACCAACATGCGTTGAATGAATAGAAAAACGTACATAAAATTATGAATCACGGGAACTTACAGTTGTGAATCTTGAAATGAGCTTTTGAGTTTTTCAAATCATGCATTTTAAAGACGATTTTCGAACAGCAATTTTTCTCTCCAGATAGGTTATGTTTCAAGACCGCATCACTCGAATTACGAAAGGTTCAAAAATAGCGTTGGACTTTCATTACAGCCTAAATTAACATGTTCACACATCGAATTCTTAAAATTCAGAACAATAATGCTTCGAAATCTCTATAACCCTGTATGACGTGCAAGAGCTGTCTTAAATTCGCCAGAATCCAAAAACGCACACGCTTGTACAAAATTCGCTGTATCTGCAAATTTAACCACTGCATGAAACACTAAGTTCCTACCTCGTGGAAACGATGGTAATTGCACAAGTGCGCACAAACTACTGCCGATGTGCTTCGCAAAAAAAGTTTTTTTCTTCCGGCAGCGGCGACGACCAGAAGTCACCGTCAATTTTTCAAACATAACTCGACTGAATTCTTCACATTCTCCGCAATTTTCAGCCTTACGGAGTCGAGGCTACAACTCACGAACTTCAGGAGAAAAAGCTTACTGGATTTCTACGACACATTTTAATGGCAACAGGGATGAAAAAATGTAAATCCCATTAATTTCAGAGTGAACAGAGGACAAATTTGCAATTCCCCGCAACTGATTCAGCCACTAAAGCTTCCAGATTTAACGCTAATCCAGTTTCGGAGACAGAAGAATCCGTTCATAAATTAGTAATCATAATTGGAGACCGTAATAGGCTACAAGAAACCCGAACTTCCCACGCTTTTGAACAACGAGAGAAAAAAAAAAAAACGAGGGAATCGATTCCGGTTCTTGAACAGACACGTGAATAATATCACGAGTCCCGTGAGCTGAACAGAACTTCAATCGCATCCAAGGCAAAAATCATTCTTTTCACCCCGAGCGCATTTAATGTTGATATCAAAATCCCGGGGGTCAGAAGGAAGAAAAGTTTCCTGAATAAAACCCTCGCACACGCCCCGGGGGCGAAAAAAAACCACAAAATTGACGAGTCCTCATCGGCCCCACGATCGTCAGAGACCAGTGGGCAACGGGGCACCGTTTGCTGGACGACTAGAGGGAAACGGGGTAGTTTGTTTCGGGAGTGGCGTACTTTTGTGGCGCTCGTGGCGGCCACTGATGGCCACTATGTCCTTTCCTTCCACAATCGCCTTGATATCTTCAACGTCCAACGTTTCGTACTTCAATAAAGCGTCTGCGAGAAGGTTCAGCTCATTTCTGTGCTCCTTGAGGATATTTGTGGCACGGCCATGTGATTCCTGCGTTGAAAAGCGTAAAAATTTGTTTAAAAACTTATTTCTACGAAGGACAGAACACTCGTTGTCAAATGCATAAGGAAAATAAGAAGTTGTGACAAGTCATCTTGAACCGATGCCTAGAGTGACCATGAGCAAGCGGTTTTTGAAGATCGTGAATGTATTTTCTCCACGCTTGAAGGTTAGTTAAAAGCTGGACCTGAACTTCTCAGATTCAAGAGACTGGTGTGAATGAATTTATCTAGATCCATGGAGATTAGTTTTGTAAAAAATCAAGGCAAATATGTCTTAAGTTTTCTTCGTAAAAAATCACTCGTAATGAACTGCAAAAAATACCTTTTCCGCCCTTTAAATCAAGTCTAAACCTGGATTAAAACATAGCAAATTCAGAAGATTTGAATAATAGAAAATTCAAATGAAAAAAGCCCCTAGCAGTTTTCTTTTCAATATTCATAAATTGCCAAGGCAGGAATAATATTGTAGTTGCTATATTTTGACATATTGTATAATAATTTCTATATTTTGACATATTGTAGTTGCTAAATTTTGACATATTGTAGTTGCTGTATTTTGACATATTGTAGTTGCTGTATTTTGACATATTGTAGTTGCAGTATTTTGACATTGGACATCATTCGAAAGATAAATTTAACTGCTCCTTATACTTGAGTTGGAGGTACATTTGAGTTGGACTTCAGTAATTTGAACCTTCCAAGATCAAAAAACGTACCTATCGCAAAGTTTTGCTCAGAACCCGTCTGATTCCTTCAAGAACAATAGAGCCTTTCAACTTGAAGACGATCCTCCTCAAACGTACATTACTCAAATTTATTGGGCCATTATTCTGGAGACCCAGGAAAGAGGAAGCCAATAAAAATATAAATTGATTCTTTTCAAAAGGAAGTGAGTAATTGGGCAAATGAACCCTTGCCTCAACGTTAAACATTCTGTCAAATAAGTGGCCCAGAAGATTATAATCTCAACTTCCTGTAGTTCTTAATTTCTCTCCAGCAAAAATTCGTTTTCCCCCAACTCAGAAACTCCCCAAGCCAAATTTGTTCGCAGGTAGAATGGAGTTTTACTCGAGAAATCCAACTGTGTATACAGCACTTTTCTCTGTTAATTCTCCGTTTTAATACGAGTAAGTTCTCAATCCTCACCTTCAGCAAGCGATTGATTTCGGAATCGATGGCTTCACTGGTGGAAGGACTGTTTTCATTCACGACAACGAGGCTCCCATCTTGCCTGTCATGAAACCGAAGACCAACTCGCTCACTCATCCCGAATTCTTTCACCATGTGTGCAGCCAACGACGTCGCTTGCTAAATGAAAAAAAAAACCAAAATTACAACTCGAAAGTTTGTAAGGCGAATTCCAATCAGTGCACGAAAAAGTAATGCACAATTACTAATGGCGTATGCGTGTTTGTGGTTCACAATTAACAGCAGAAAACTAAAAAATATATATAGCACATCTCCCAAACAAATGCGTTAACGATTCTGGAATTCGGCGAAGAAAACCGCAAATACAGTGAGACCTCGAAATACGGACGATTCGACCTTGGGACACTTGAAACTTCAAAAAGTCTTACCCGACATTTGGACAAGATCTCGACAAACTGACACCCATTTCTAGAGAAATGGAAAATGTTAAATTTTTTAAATTTGTGATATTTCTTGAACAAATTCACATAAGTTAAAAATAAATTTCATCACATATTTACTCAAGCACATAATATATGATTGTTCTGAAGATTTCTCCACAATCTGTGCACAATATAGCAAGATTTGTACTTTTTTGGCTGTTCGGGGAACTCTTGATGCCAGAAGATCAGAGTCCGTGTGGTTTTCTTCCTCACAGCTACATTCCGCATCTTCAACTTAAGAAACAAATTTTATTTGATTTTTAGAAAGTATTCATTCCTAATTTTCATGAATTGGAGAAAGTTCCCATTGAAGTCGACGGGAAAACGAAATCCGACACGTGGACGTTCCAACATTGGGAAAAGGTCCAAGCACCAATTACGCTCGCATCTCGGGGTCCCACTGCACACGCTATTAGATGAGGAGGAATACGTCAATACTGCACCTTTAAATCTGACGACGCTCCGGAAGTAACTTGATCAGAGCCAAAAATTAGCTCTTCAGCAGCCCGACCTCCCATATAAGTATCCAACATCGCAAGCATTTGCGCCTTCGTAACGTGATATCGCTCTTTATCAGGGATATACGATGTCTGGAAAGAAAACATTTCACTTCAGAGAAGAAAAAAGAAAAACCCACAAGCAATATTTCCAGGTATTAAGACTCACGTGTCCAAGTGAAGGACCACGAGGGATAATTGTAACCTTGTGAAGCGTCTGAGCTTCTTTCGTGTAATACGCTACCAAAGCATGTCCACCTTCGTGGAAAGCAGTCAACTTGTTCGTTTCTTCGTCGGGGATTCTACTTTTTCTCTCCGGACCTGTGAAGAAATTGGATGGACAACAAAAGATGAGGTACAGTACTTGACTTGTAATAGCAAAAGAACACGCTGCAAAAAATGAGCGTGCAGAACTGTTGTGAAAGAAGGAGTATTTTGCGAAAGTAACTTACAAGCGCAGTTTGGATACAAAATAAAAGTTGACTCACTCGACATTCAAGGGATCAAATAAATTCGTTGTAGAGAGACTTTTATTGAATAGAACCCCTAAAAAATGGTAAGAGAACCCTTTGACACAAATAAATCCTTGAAAACAAGAACGAGAGTCCACCTGTAGTAATAATTATTATACACCACTCAACCCCACTTTAGCCTTTCTTTGAGGCCTCAATTCGGAAATAATTTTCGGAATTTGAAATACCGTATTTACTCGAGTACCACGCGCACATTTATTCTCAAAATTCAGCGGAAAAAAGGGGTTCGAATCACAGGCAGGTGTAATTTCTTCAAGTTATAGAAATTTAGGTGAGCATTAAACTTGATTCTCACGGGAAATTGTGAACCAATTTCAACAGAAAAGCGTACAATATTCTAATGGAAATAATCGAAAATTACTTGAATTCAGGAACAATTATATAAATTCAAAATTTGGTTATTCTTATTTTCAAAATATTGCAGATTAGAGTCACGAAGAATGGGGTGCACGTCTCACTCGGGGATACAATTTTATAAAAATCTCAAACTGAAAAACTCCGCTGCGCGTCCAACTCGAGTAAATATGGTAATTTCAATATTAGGTGGATCAAATGCCAATTTTAGTGAGAAAAATCAGCCCTCAGTATCACAGTTCTGAGGACATCAATTCACTTTTCGTCAGCTTTTACGGGAGAATTATTTTTCAGTGACCAAAGCAGCCACAAAACAGCAGCTCGGACACGAAAGATAACTCAAAATTATTCGAATCAAATTACGATTTAAGCAGAAATTCATTTTTACAGCACTCAAAGCTGTCTATGATTGAGTCAAGAAGGACAAAAAAAAAACAATACAGTACGAGACTCACCCATGAGAATTTTGTCTCTCGCAAACTCAAGATGTTTCATTAAAACATAATCTGAGCCGTCCATGGCTGCTTTGAGAGCAGCTTGGTTGACGAGATTTTTTTGTGGCTCCCAGGACAATCACACCCTCGTTTTGCACAAACCTATACACACAAAATATTACGGCTTAGCATTGAAATAAAACCACTATCAGCTCAATGTATGGTTTCTATTCACTAAGCAAAAAGGATTTCAAGGTATACGAGAAAATTTTCAGTTCGATAATTGTGATCTTCAAGAAGCAGGTGAAAAGCTCAGCTCTTCGTGCAGCTTTGCGAAATATTGCATTATTACTCCGCGACATGACATTCAATCTGTCCAAAACTTTTCCTACACTTTTCAAATCAACTATTATATTTAAAGAACAAGACATCCAAATTTCGTACCTGAAATTTCCATCGTATGACGTGATCCTCATTTTTAGAGACTTAAAATTGAAATACAGTGGACTCTCTCCACAAAGATCTTGCCTACAACGATTTTCTCTGTACACCGAAATTACTTTTAGCCCAATATGGTTCTCTCGCCATGTTATGTGGGGTTCTCTACAACAAATTTTTTTCTGGTCCCTTGAACTTCGTTGCAGAGAGAGTCCAGTTTGAGAATAAAACGCATCTGAATTTATTCTTTGACTTGTAGTCAAATTGAACGTCTCCCTTATTTTTTTAGTTACAGTATCTACAAAAATTGGTTAAAAATTCCGTTTAAATGAGGTACGACAAAACTTTCCAATTTTGAAAAATGTTATACCCAGCTCTGACGCGTACCTTATTTTTTCTTTTTCGTTTCGAAAAGGAGGTGCGCGTGGTACTATAGTAGGTACGGCAATAAACATTTGAATATTTCCAGTACATTTAATTACGATCAACAGAAAAATGTGCAAGAGCTACCGTCCAACATCATCCACAAAACAGAAACTTCATCTACAGAACAGTAAATTAACTTAATTTTAGGACAACCTGATACAGTATTTCAGTGTTACATCATTGAAATCCCTCAGTTGCTCACCCATCCATTTCTGCGAGCAGTTGATTGATCGTCTGGTTGGCGTAAGGATGCAGGATCGAATTCGTCCTCTTTGCTCCAACAGAGTCGATTTCATCGATGAATACTACACACGGGGCCCGAGCTTTGGCAGCTCGGAAAAGATCGCGAACGCGACGAGCACCTTGGCCAACAAGAACTTCATCGAACTCTGGTCCAGCAGCGTGGAAGAACGGCACTCCAGCTTCACCGGCAACAGCTCTTGCCAACAAAGTTTTACCGGTTCCAGGAGGTCCAACCAGCAAAACCCCTAGGTGAAACAAAAATCATTGATACCACATACTCTCTAATAAACGCCCCTATTTCCAAATTATTAGATTTTTCTCGAAATGTTTCTGAAAACCCCTTCAAAGTTCTTCTTGGAAAATGAGACAGAAATGCATCCTTCCTTAGCTCCCAATACATTCGTTTAAAGCAGTGTTCCCCAACCCATGGTCCAAGGACCAGCACCAGTCTAAAGACATTTCTTGCCAGTATGTGGGAAATTTTCTTCAGCATGATAAATGTATCAAAAGTAGCAATGAAGTCTTATCTTTACAAGAAATTTTCAAAAGACAATGGCAGCTGAATCATCCGATGAAAAATGAAAATTGGCTCTTCTTCTAATAATGCTTCAGACAAATTTTCACCAGCTAAAATTAATTATTTTGTTTTTCATTCTGAGAAACCTTCATTTAAGCGCATCTTTCACGACATTCCACTACAGCTGCTTCACTGATTTCTTAACCTAATTTTTGCTTAAGAGGAGAAACTTTTTGAATACCATCCAGAAACTTCTTGAGTCTGCAGACTTAACATGAAACTTTGCCAATCCCCATGACATTTTTTGGAGATTTACTGGTCCGCAAAATTGTAACGGAAATTTGCCATTCAGCAGGTCCAAAAAGGTTGGGGAGCACTGCCGTGAAGGATTTTCAGGCTTAAAAGAATTCTCAGCATTCTTTCCATTTTTAAAGATGGGCCTCTATTGGAGACTAGGCGTACATTAGAGAAGGTATGGTACTCACACTGAATTTAATGACCAGATTTTTTTTTCAGCGTAAATCTGAATCGAGATAGATGTACTGTACGTGCTGATTACAAAAATAAGACAGGAATTCGCCGGTCACTCACCTTTCGGCAATTTCCCACCCAACGTAACGAAACGTTTGGGACTCCGCAAAAACTCCACAACGTCCTGCAATTCCTGCTTGGCTTCGTCCACTCCCTTTACGTCATCGAACGTCTCCGTAATGTCTTCCGGCATGACTTCGTTTCCGTTCCCGACAGAAACGCGAAACATTCCCGGTCCCACATTGCCTGGAAACAAGGACCAGGCACTGGCAGATTACGAAAGCCCAAAGCCAACAGCAGAAGAAACCCTTCCGCGCAACGGCGTTTGTTTTGATATCGGCGACTTGAACTCACCCATGAGGGAGAAAAGCAATGCGAGGAAAACCGTGATCATCAGAATTTGCTGAAAAGCGCGCAGAAAACGGACAGCGCGACTTTGGGCGCGATTTGGATCCCCAGCAGCCAGATAGCCTTCAGCAAAGGCAACCTTGATCTTCTCTTGTTCTACGACAGAAAGGCTCGGATCTGAGAACAAATCTAATAAAAAAAACCAACGATTGCTAACTAGAAAAAGCAACACTTGATGTTCACGACTCACTGCGTAATTTATCATAACGCTCATTCTCCGAAAATAGTTTCATTTTGCCGGCAGTCGTGTCAGGAGTTTTTCGCAAAAAGGACTTCGACCCACCTCCTTCGTCACCAGCTGATGAATTCATGAGAGTTCTGCGTCTGTACGTTTTGAATCCCCGACGTTGTTCCATTTGCACGCCAATATCATGCTGCAATAACGATCCTAAAAAAATGCGTTAAAACTGAATCACCAACGTTCATCCAGATTTACTGAGTGAACCAACCAGAGAGCAACTGATGATTCCTGACAAGGTTCTGAATCTGCGGACGCAGCCCCCGAACACCAAATGTCATGTCCATTAGTTGCCTTTGAATGTTTCAAAATAATTACCTTCTGATCATAAAGCAGGGCTCAAGAAATCTTACTTAGGACTGCAAGGCATCCTGGAATCAAGTTCGAAGCTTCCCCACGACGTGTAAGATGTGTTCCATGTCTTTTTCGCGTTCGAGAATATCGCGTCCGCCAGGTACATGGTCTCTTCAGCGAAACGTGTTCGTAAGCCATAGGGCAATGTCGCAATTGCTTGTGACAGGTCTTCTTTTGACACCATCTGAAAGTATAATTTGGAAATGATGATTCATCAAAATCGAAGATTTACTCAGCATACTTGAATAACTTCATCAGAGAGCAGTTCATGAGCAGATTTCTGGATTTCGTCATGTTTTTCCAAGGCAGCGCAGGTTCGAGAACCCGTACTTCCTTGACAATATGAGGCCACAAGGCTACGCGCCCCATTGATCCACGATGCAACATTGTTCGTCAAGGGTCCCAAACCCTGCAAAGATACGGACACAAAAAAAAAACGTCAAGACAAGATTAAAATCACTGATACTTGAGTAATGCATTACCTGACTGACCACTGAAACGTTTCCAGCTAGAGTCATTACTGCAGTCATTTTTAACTTTTACTGACAATGTCTGAATCACTTTAATGCCTGTAAGGAACCGAATCACACCTGAAAATTCACAGGAAAAGTTTGCTTCCAAAATCCACCATTGATAGCTACTTCATCAATCCACGACCAAGAGCCATCCGTAGGTCTAACGAAAGATCGGCTGCCTTTGAACATATTTCAGCCGACGCTACACTTCAGATCATTTACGGAACCGCTGCTCGAAACGAAGTAACCACGAAGGTTGTAGATAAGGAAGTAAAACATGCGAGTAATGAGTAAACGTATGAACGATAGATGGCAGATTTCCTTCCCCGGTGCAAGGGAATAACGTATATCGAGGGGAAACTCCGAAGATAAATGACACTTCATCAGTCAGCTCAAGTATTTTCAATTAACACAATTCGTGAAGAAAATCAAAATTCTCGACAGCCGCTTCCTACAAAGAACCCCACGAAGGCGAAGGCGGACGTCCTGCCACGCCGATCCACCAGAGGGCGGACATGACAGATTTCTTGTGATCATAGACACAGTGAAATACTCCGCGCATTAGAGAGCGGATGCAGTAACCGTAACCGACATGGTATCCTCTTTTTTCTTCTTTTTTTATTTTTACAAAACAGGAGTTTAACTTCATACTTGACACCATAATCTTTCTTACAACTGTATGCAGGAGGAACATTATAATTCTGAAAAATTACAAAGTAACGGATGCTGAACGTTGTCAGCCCCTTTTCCACAGCTGATCATTGATATCACACCATGCGCTTTTTCCACTACTGATGAAAATTCAGAAAATATTGATGAAAAGCCCAAATTGCATGTCACATTTACCTTCTTGACATTTTAAGAAACCTTCTGAGCGTATAATGCATACCATTTCACGCAGATGCCTGCGGATTAAAATCAGAGGGGGTTCCTGATAATGAATACCAGGTTATTCCTGAGAATTGCCATTATAGAGTGAGCCTTAGATAATAATTTTCCAGTGACTTTTAATTTATTTTTTAAGGAATTCCCAAATACCCCCTGAACTGAGGAAGATGAGATGCAATACAGTATCTTCAAAGGTGCTTTTTTTCAAATACAGTATGTAATTTTTTTTTATAAATTCCTAATTCTTTGCAAACAAAGGAATAAGGTGAGATCCAATTCAATTATTCTTACACTTTTCAGGTTTGCCAAATCAGGAGATTCGGGAAAACTTTAATTAAAATTCGTATTCCATTTCACAATCTCAATTCTAATTTAATCGAAAATGTCCAAATTATTGCAATTTTGAGGCATGTAAAAGAGTGAATTTACATTACTCCATATAAAAATGAAAATACTTAAATTTGTTTAATCAACAGTAGCGCAACTAAAGCTTGCCTGCATGAGATAAGGTTTGCGGTTGATTTGTAGGACTGTTTGAGAGAGAAAAAAAATCATTACTTTTGTTTAAATTTCCATGTAAGAAGTTATTCACCTGCTTGATCACAGACAAACGGATTTCAACGCATCAGGAAGCACAACCGCAACGGTTTCTCCATCTCTCGTGGGAAACGAAAATCAGCGTAATCCGATTCCCTTTGAGCAAACAAGAAAAAAAGGAAGAAACATCATATTTCATGCTCTCCGGCGCCGCGACGACGACAAAGGGCGCCTCTCTTGTCGCTTGCTCGCGACAGAGCTTGACGACTCCGAAAACACACCCGCCATCACTTGATACCCCTGCATTTTTATATAGACGGCGTCCCTCTCGTCGCGTCGCCAATAATGCAGAGAGACGCCGAAAACCCATCCCGAAAAAAAAAGAGAGGGGCCCTCGGCTAATTAAAACCAAGCGTCCAGACACCACTTTTTGCGCAGATTTCAGCTTCTTTTATTTCGGGCCTCGCTGCTGCAAGTGTCGGCAACAGGAAGTTTCTTCGAGTTTCACGAAGTTTCGAGAAATTCTTCTCACGATGGGGGGGGGGGGGGGAAACATGATGACCTGGGTCTTAATGAGGTCGCGACATCTGGCAACGGTTTGCGGGAGTTCTTTGACTCTGACTTTCAGTGAAGCGACGCTTGGTTACGCTGCTACCATTTATTCGGATTTCACTTCTGTTTTCAAAATTTACGGGCGAGACGCGAGATTTTATTTTTGTTACCCCGGGAAATTATAAAAACAAAACAAAAATATTGCATTGATTCTGATGATTGATTGGTTCAAAAGAACAATCACGTGTTACATAACAACGTATTTTACAGAATTTATGTTTCAAACAGATTTTAAAAATCTGGCGCCAAGGGGAACAATGTTTCGGATCTGAACTACAGAACTTTTTAAAAAATGTTGACTCGTTACTCGAGACGAGATTTTCTTCGTACTACAGGGAAACTAAAAGAAAAATCTGGCGCAAGATGAGCTATTTGTGTGTCTTTCGGATCCGAAATCATACTCATGTATAGAAAATTTAGACATCAAGATAAAATATGCTCTAAAATTTTTAGCGTTTCTTCCCGATTTTATTTGGAGTTAAGCGCATATTTTCAATTGAAAATTTGTATTTTATCCCAGTAATATTAGAAAAAATGAATAGATGTACATTTTTTTACATTCTGAAGCCTTTGGTAACTTTTTTTTTGGGATATTTTTCTTTTACCAATTAACTGGAAGAATAGGTTGTGTTGATTTTGAAAAACCATATGATGCATTTCTTTTTAAGCGTGATATAAAATCATTACAATATTGTACCTGATTTTGTTCTATTTTTGTGAATGATTCAACGCACTAATAAAGTGAATGGCAACATTCACAATTATTTTTGCTGTTTGCGTAAAATAGAGTTAGTCAGTGAAATTATCTTATTTCACCACAAACAACTGTTCACTGAAAGTTTTTGAGTTCAGTTCAAAATCATTTTAAAACGCTTCAGTAATTATAAGATCAAAGCACATCACTAAAATAGGTAGAAAATGTTCCTGGAAACTGTTTTTTTTTTTTTAATGAGAAAATATATAATTCAGAAGGTTCATCTAGGAAAACATTTTACTCTTGATCACTATGAAGGCCACACAATTCAAAGTAACTGGATATAAAATGCTCTCTTTTTTGTTCTTTTTAATAAATTCGATTTGAAGAATAACCAATTTCGTTTATAAATTTCACAAACAGAGAGGCCAACACTGTACTAAAATCTACAAAAGATACCTTTTATTGCTGATGAACAATTCTGATTGAAAACTTTGTTTTATTTTGAAACGTTTGGAGTTTAACCGAAAACCCCCGTTTGTTGTGAAAGCAGAAAAATTAACTTTTGGAGAGGAATAAATTCTTTATGAAATTTTGATTAATGTATTTTTTAACACCGTACTGTACTGTAAAAAAAATTTCTGGTTCCCATTATTATTTTTTCAATAATTATGCCTCCACTTGTTTGTTTTGTCAAGTTCCAACGATAATTTTTCTTAATGTTCATAGACTCAAATGAATTTTTTCTTAGCTGTTCTGCATGTTTAAAATCTATTTTTTTAAATTTTATTCTCAAGAATTTAAAATGTTGACTTGAACAAATTGATAATATACGCAGATTTTCCAGGTTTCAAACGAATGAAAATTTTCAAAGTTGGCGAGAGGATGAAAGTTTCACGTGCAAAATCCAGGAACACATTACAGTAGTTTTTCTTTTTTACAGTATATAATAGAATCTCGTTACAATAAAGAAGCGTTGGGCACCTTAAAAAGCTCCGTTGCACGCGAAAATTCGTTGAAACGAAATTGAAATAGGACTGTGGATATTGCTCAGGGACCAAAAAGGAAAATTCGTTGTGTGAGTATGATTTCGTTATAATGAGATTTCGTTGAGATACGAGATTTACTCAAATGCCCTCCCCCACCATTAATTTGGTGCTTGAGTATATGCAAACTTTTTCCAAAATTCGTGTGCGAATATTATCTTATCTTCGGCGTTTAATTTTTTTGGAATATTTTCTACTGTAACATATACGAGAGGAAAAGGTTTACCTCATCGGAACTCATTGGCAAGATCCTCAACAAAAAAAACCCCTCCACTTGAAAAAAAAAATAAATAAAAAATAAACAATTCACCTCCAGCTCAACACAATAAGAGAACGACCCCCGGGAAGAGCAAGCAAAAAGAGGACCCAAAGTTTGCCGTCACGCCGAGTTGATTACACACTGGCGAGACAGATCTTGTCACAGAACATTGTCAACGTTCATCTTTTTTCTTTCTTTTTATTCTCCAAAGTCTCCTTTCCTTGTCTTTTCAGCCCCCCGATTTATTAATTTTTTTCTTTCTTTCTTCTTCTTCTTCTTCCAAGGAGTAAAGCACCAACGACCCCCGTCAACCTGTCGCCTACAGGTTTTCCTTGGCGCTTCACTACATGGGCGCCACTGGGTTTCCCCCCCCACTCACACCTGATAAGACGCCTTCTTTTTTTAGTGTTGAGAGATATGGTTAGCTAATGGTCTCTGGAAGGGGGGGGGGGGATAAGGGTGTAGCTTGGGATTGATGCACCATGCAAGGGAAGATTACCCCCACAGCAGGCTGGGTTTGCACTTTGCAGCAGTTGGTGGATCCAATGCTTTATTATTATGAAAGGCTCAAAGAAACATTTTTAATTGCAAAATTTATATTTTTTCCCCCAAGGAGTTGTGCACCAATAACCCCCTTTTGGCATGACCTTGCTAACTCAAGCCTCTTTTTGAGTCAAAATGCAACCTATATGTCAATTTTTTTTAGCCCTGTCTCAAAAATTCTCCTCAATTTTTTTGTGATTTGTCCATTAAAAAATTGGTAGCAGAGCATGTAATGTTAAAGATTTGCTGAAAGTAAAACTGAAAACCCCCATAAATCAGAAGAGCAACAAGCAAAAAGAGTTGAAAAAAACAAAAGAAGGAAATTGAAAGAAAAACTCATCAGAAAAATATAAAGTAAAATGGAAACTAAAAAATTGAAGGTAAAGATGCCAAAACTATAAGAAAAGGAAAAAGTCTATTTAACCATAAATTTGAGGCCCAAAATAGGGTATCTCAACTTTTACATTTCTGTAATGAATGAATGAACAGAACACTTCATTTGCCGCTTTTCAGCGTTCACAAGGTACAATCAAGATTTACACATCCAAACCCCCTCCCCACCCAACCCAAATCCCCTCAAAGACATTTGATCACTTCAAAGCAGGAAACAAAGCACAAGTTGATGACAAAAATAAAAGAAAATACAATCCACAAAATAAAACTGGACATCTGACATGTCTGCATACACCCACTCATTTCCTGACATAGAGAATAAAATAGCAATAAAAGTGTATTTAAAGCACAAGGTCTTCAGCTTGTTTGTGTATGAGGTTTCGTACCTTTCTGTAAATTTTAAAAAAATTTACCCCAAAAAAGTGCTGGTTCCTCAACTCAAACGCTCTCCAAGTCAATTTTTCAATACAGGTGATGCCTC